CTCTAAGGTCGTAAGTATACTTATATAAGATGGTTAAGATGGAAGCATTTTGATAGATGATGGTAAAAATGACCTTCTTTATCTTTCTTTGTTACAGATAAGAAGCCTAGGTCTTTTACTTCTGACTGATGTTTTTATTTGAGGGGACAAGGGATGTTTGTTGTCTAAAATGATGGAATTAATTTTTTTATGTACAATTCATTCAAGTAGGGGAATGTAGATGTTGAAATTTTACATGCTTTCCGTATTAGTCGATTTAATGTTTCTTTATCTTGTTGTCTTGTGTTCACGGCCCATGCTGTTATACAAAAATTGATCATACTTTCTACAGTTGAATGGTAGAACATGGACATCAATGTTTTATCAACTTTAATTAAAATACTTTAGCTTCCTTGGAAAAAATTGTCTTTTGTTCACTTTTTTTAATGCAGGAGAGAGAAGTGTGGACACGCCAAATACTTATAGTCTGACACTTGCTCGATGTTTTCACATTTAATTTCGAGTGGCTGCAGGGGCAGTTTCTTTATTCTAAAATCAACAACAAGTTCTTTTGGGGTTTTCACATTTAAAAGCAGCTTATGATTTTCACACTATTCAGAAAAGTTAAGTACAAAATTCCGGTAAGCGGTTTCGTTATGGTCAGCCAGAATTAGCCCAATTATGGTTGAATCATCTGCAAATTTGACCAACTTGATGTTACTGTTGTTTATATAGGTAGATATAGCTAGGTTGATCAAGTTTGGATATAGTACACTCGACATTGAACTATTCACTTGCATATTCTAGGGACATGTTTACAAACGACAGACGACAACACAGACAGAAGCCATAAACAAGATATACATGTACATACTATACAGACGATGAACGTTTTTGCTTCGCACTCTTTTACTTAAGATTAATCTGCACACTGTGTGTCTTTTTTAGTTCTACAATGCCACGTCTGTGCGTCAAATGTTCGTATAAACAATACAATCGTCATCACTAATGAGTTTTGAATTTTTTTTTACCTTTCTTTGGAAAATTACGTAAGTCTTACGATTAAAATGTTAATATTGACACTTCGAACATACCCATGTCAAGACAAGATTGGAAAAGGTTTTTGGCACTCCTCACAGATTTCGGATCTTCCTTTGAGGGAGGTTCCCCCAAGATCCCTGAGGGGACAAAATGACCGATAAACAGTCTATGCTACATTTAAACGTATCAGTGGATTTAGCTAGAAGTTTTCGTACAACAAGGAAACAATATTATATTATATCGATCACTTCCTTAAAACAAAAACAAGTTTGTTTTGAAGAAGGGTTCTGTATTCAGCTAGTGGTTTCTATCGGAACAAAATGCTGCGCTTTCTATTACCAATCAGTGACCTTTCCTTTAAACATGACATCATTGTTTAGCAGGGGCAGAGACAAAGGCAGGGGTCTGCTCTATGTTCCCCCAGCTCTAGGGTAGTAGAGATTCTTTGGTTGAAGGAAAGCAACCGCGTTTGAGGCCAAATAATATGACTGTAGTCGCTTAACCACTGGTCAGATTGACTATATATAAAATATATATAGCTTGTCCACTTGTCAGTTAGACTACTGCTTTACCTCAGGTCATTTCAACATTACATAATGTAAGCATGTAACTTGGCAGCTCCCGTTTAGCAGACATATTTCTTGAAGGGCCAAACCTACACGTGCCACGACCCGGTTAAATCTGGCTCTCGTCGCATTTTTTAGCGTATGAATTTATTGGTATCATCTTAAAATGTGCTCATTTGTCTTCCTTTTCATGAAATGATGTCCATCAATCTTGAATAAAAGTCGAGATATCTGAGACTGAAGGTGATGGAAGTTGCCTGTTCATATGGGCAACGTTTGCGACAAAATAGCCGCCAGCGTTTGGTAACTGAAATGTTCTATACAATACAATATAAAAAAAATTAAGATCAGTTCCAGTACGATCAAAAATTCTGTATCTTTGTACGATCACCCGTGTACTAGGCAACCCCGCCAGAGAAACAGAGTGGCGTCGGTAGTCTTGTGGTCAGGCTACCGGACTCGTAATCGTGATGTTGCAGGTTCGGGGGTTTGAGCGTCAGTTCGGCCCGACGTTGTGGTCTTGAGAAAGGCACTTTACACGGAATGCCCGTTTGGCTCGGTCCTTTCGGAGATGAACGTTAAACTCAGAGATCCATCCTCATAGATATTTTGTGTTGATAGACGTGTTAAACCTAAACCATCTCACAACAGAAGCAGTAGCCGGGTTGTTCAGGAGGCCATTGACAACCAATTAATAGAGTAAACTCAACTATTAAAATCTACATTAATACAACTCTAAGGACATTAAATGCAACACTGAAGTCGTACCTAATACAGAGTAATTCCTTAAAGTAATGAGCACTGTCAAAAAACATACCCATTCATTTTTTTAACTTTTACACTCCTAATCCTTTTGATCCCAATGGTTCACATCGCAGTGTTCACTGTTGGCGTCTCTATTGTAAAACGTTAATCTTAAGCGTTTTGTATCTGCAGTTTTGTAAGCAAAGTTCTGTCCTACATCATGAATATCGAATGTTTTAATATTTTGTAATGGTTTTCATTTTATACTGTTTTGATGAAAAGGGTGGGGGTGTATTTGAATTAAGACTCATGAATCTACATTATAACACTTGTTTCTCTCATTCTAGAGATTGCCTAGGCAACACGTAATCATGCACATAATGTTCAGACCCATTGGCACTGTGTATACCAGTTGTGCGTTTGTGAATGTTTGGGTTTATATATTATATGCTTGTGTGTATTTGTGTATGTATGTTTATGTGAGTGTATGTATGTGTGTGTGTGTGTGTGTGTGTGTGTGTGTGTCTGTGTGTGTGTGTGTGTGTCTGTGTGTGTGTCTGTGTGTGTACAAGGTAGTACAAGTGATAAGTAATGTACTCACTCGATGATTCATCATCCACCTCATTTTCGAGTTCGGATATAACATCGATGCTATGCTTGTCCTCTGGGAATTCATGCTTCTTGACCCACCCGCCACACGCAAAGTCATAGAAGTTGTCACAAGGGTGTACGCTGGCATCGATGTTGTTCATTATACGAGCGGCTGGGGGAGAAAGAGGCTAGTATTCACAACAGACGGCAGAACATATGAAAATCAGTATAAATATTGTAGTTTTAGATAGCTCACGTAGTTAATATCAGAGTTGTAGGTTTTTAAAATATTGAAGAAGAAGAAGAAGAAGAAGAAGAAGAAGAAGAAGAACAAGAACAAGAACAAAAACAAGAACAAGAACAAGAACAAGAACAAGAACAAGAGGAGGAGGAGGAGGAG